CTATCCTCTTGTAAATATGAAGTGACTATGGATCAGACCATCAGCTGACATCCCCAAAATAACTTCTCTATTAAGTGGTAAAGCTAAGAATTGAACCTACATCCATCATCTCTTGAGCCCACTAAATTGTGTTATCTCTTTGAGAGGCAGGAAGAGGAGAGAGAAATCCACTGCCCACTGCCTTGAAGTCAATTCTGAGTCGGAAAGGAGTCCATGGCACACAGACACCACCACTGCCACCGCCACCAGTGGTAGATAAAGGAGCCCTGGTGGCGCTGTACATTAGGCAATGGGTTACTGCTCCTAACAGTTACTCCAGAGGAGAATGAGGACGCTATCTGCTCCAGTTGTTGTTGTTGTTAAGCGCTGTTGAGTCGGTTCCGACCCATAGCGACCCTGTACAGGGTTTCCAAGGCTGTAAATCTTTATGGGAGCAGAAAGCCTCATCTTTCTCCCCCGGAGCAGCTGCTCCAGTAAAGACATACAATCCCTGAAACTCGCTATGAATCAGAGTTGATTGGATGGCAGTAGGTAAAGGTGGTAGAAAGGATCTGAGGAGTGACTGAATTAAACATTTGAGCTGTCAGATGGTCATGCGGTGGAGCCTTCAACAATTTGATTCAGGGACCAGTCAGTATATGACTCAGTGCAGACCAATGGTGGTCAGCCATTGTCCTGGTGACCCATTCTTCCCAGTCTTACTTTTTCCACACAGCAGCCTGTAACTATAGAGAAGTGGCTAAAACCTAGATTTGGGTTTGGCCACTTCTTATGTGAGAAACCAATTCTAAGAACTCTGAAGAACCAGATAACAGCTCCTAAAAATCTTTGTTGTTGTTGTTGTTGTTGTAGGGTGCTGTTGAATCAGTTGAGACTCATAGCTACCATATGTACAACAGAATGAAGCACTGCCCAGTCCTGTGCCAACCTCACCATCGTTACACTGAAGCTCATTACTGCTGCCACTGTGCCAATCTATCTCTTTGGGGGTCTTCCTCTTTTTCGCTGACCCTCCACTTTATCAAGCATGATGCCCTTCTCCAAGTACTGGTCCCTCATGATAATATGTCCTTAGTATGAGAGACGACGACTCACCATCCAAGTTTATAAGGCACATTCTGGCTGTACTTCGTCCAACACAGATTCATTTGTTCTTCTGGCAATCCATGACACTTTTAACAGTCTTAAATGACTTAAGGCTTAGCAGGAGAGCTTACAATTTTAAAAGATTCAAGTTACTTCTAGATGTAGCAACTATAGGAAAACAAGCTGTGTTGGGGAGCACTCCTTAATGAACATTGTGGTTTATGATAGATTTTTCTCAATTGGAGTGACTGACCAAAAAATTGATGAAAGGCTGTGAAAACAATACCATTATTAAGTAGTTTTGTTTTTTTTCTTCTCTTAGAAAACAAAATTTTAAAAAGTCAATCTTGCCATGCATTTATAGAATAACAGGAATAAATAAGTAAGATACTGAGAAACTCTGTTGAGCATTTTTGTTCTCATGAACTTGGGATTCATTTTCTTCACTGATGCAGATGAGGGCAAACACAAGAGAATCAAACATTTGGCAGATATGAATCCCTTGTGTGTTCCTGATCTGAAGAAGCCATGATCAAGAGCTGTGCTCACCTACAGTGGGGTGATAAGCTAGTTTGCAGGCAATCTGTATTTAGTCAAATTCTTTTCTCCTTCTACAAAAGGTCTGCCATTATTTGCATAGATTAGGCCAGGCTGTTCCTGTCTGAGAATTTTCTCTTTTTTCATGATTATAGATTTTCAGAGACTTTAACACATACCTACTCAAACTGTCTCTCACACTCTGAAAATATCAACAATGCCTTACTTCAGGTTGCTATTTTTCAGTTCTATCATATTTCTTTTTTTTTTTTAAAGAAAGAAAAATTGTAAGCGACATTCTACTTGGCTGGCTTGATCCAGAAAACCATGCCTCACATCTTGAAATGCTGTGGATGTTAAAGAAAATGAAGTGTGAACTTCTGTTGGTGGAGAACAGGGGTGTGCTGCACATGTACAATGTCCTATGCAGTTGTTTGGATGTAATGAACAGAGGTTTTATGGCCATCTCCATGCATTGCTAGTAAGTGGCAACAAGCAGAATGGTAAACTGAGTAAATCACAGGGCCAGTAGAGCCAGCCAGAACAGGTGGTATTTAACGCTAATGATCAAGAGGCCCATGTGTGGTTCACTAATTATTAGAGATGTCCTTGGTTAAAAATGATGTAATTTCACAAGTGACTGTTAACAGTCAACTATATCATTGGTGACGTTTTAGTGCCAACTTCTTTAACATTTTATGTTTCCAATGTGGAGAGAAGTTAAACACTCTCCTAGAATACATAAAAGACTAAGTTTTCTTGCCAACTGTCCACAGTTTGAGGTGAGATTAGCAGAAGTCTTTTTTTATACTTTCAATTTCCCGCGTGTGTACACATGTGTCTATACACCAACATATCACTGTTTCCCTTAACTACTTTTCTAGACTTGGAAAACTGCTGCTTTTATCTTTCAACTTAATTCCCATCTGATATAGGTTTCCCAAGATGTTATTTCTTAAATTGATGGTAATTTTTTTTTTAATGGTTTAAAAAAAATAATCAAAATAATGATGGGTCTTCTAGCTATTTTCTCTTGAGAACTTAAGTAATTGAATGGGGATAATTTAAAAAAAAAAAAAAAAAAAAACTTTTATGGCCAGGTGGCTCTAGGGGATATTTTGTTGAGCACTGATTAAAAATAATTTCTTCTAAATGAGACCTGACCACAAAATGGAACCATTAATGGGCAGGGACATGTCACTAAAGCGGAAACCATGCCTGATTGCTCTTGTACCTCCCACCACACAAGCATTTTCTTCTTCTTTTTCTTCTCTTTTTCTTGTTCTTAATAGCAGAGTAAATAAGCATCCAGTGAGGCCTAAATGTTTTCGGCCAAAAACAGAGTCCAAACTCCTCAGAGAAAACATTTGGCCTCTGTGGTTTTGTAATATGTTCCAGAACACTGAGTTCAGTGAGGAACATTGTGAAAAACTCCCATCCATTGGAATGATGCTGGGGAATGTTACAGTATCAGAAGTTTCAATTGGTCCTTTTCCTGCAGCCCCATAATGAGGCTTGTTAAAAAAAAAAAAAAAAAAAAATAGTGCTATGTGGAAGTTCTCATGGGAAAAATGAATGGCAAGAAATCCTAGCTTTAAAAGAAACAGCTAATCTGCTAGTTTGATTGTTCTTCAAAACTTACGCTGAACCAATGAGCCTAATTAAAAACACTTGGCCTACTTCTATAAAGCATCATAGCTTTTTCTATGCTTCGTTTGTAGACACCACAAAACTCCAGATAGACTATTATTTTTTTCAAGTGTTCACTAACAAAGTGCTGACTTTGTTGGGATGGCTGAGCTAATTTCTTGAACTCAGTGTGAAACCTTAGCTAAACAAAATTGTGGTAATTTTCCTTAATTTGTAAAAGTGATTGGAGTGCAAACAAAATTTTCCTCTTGGGTCAATCCTATAATTTTCAATTAACTAAAACTAATCGTCAGGCAGGCACCAAACCTGCATTTTGTTTAAAGGACTGGGAGGCATTTCCAAGGGTCAGGATGCATTAATTGTTTTTATAATTTTAAGAGAGAGAGAGAGATTGAGTAACTAAGAAGGCATGGTGGGTTTTGCTATTAGTATTAAAAGAAGAAAAGAAATGATGCTTTGAGATAACATATAGTAGAAAACAGAATTTATCCATTGAAATGTACGGTTATAATTAGGATGTGTTCATAGTGTTAACAGAGTCAACCCTTCATTGCTCAAGGAGTATCTTTGTGTAAAAGTGACTTCCACTTCTCACTTAATCTCGTCTCATGGCCCTTTATTGAATGAAGAATGAAACCTGAGACCAGTTTTTGTAAACAGTTACACAAGAATGACTGATGCTAAACAGAGGTCCTAGAACTTGACTCCTCAAAGTGTCATCTGTGGACTTGCAGCATCAGCAGCACTTTGAAGCTTGTTAGGCAGAAACTCAGCTCCAACCCAAACCTATTGACTGAATCAGAATCTGAAGTTCCATAGGATACCTAGGTGTGTGGTTTGCACTTCACTGTTTGAGTATCACTCTCTAGAATAAATATTGGGTACTCCAGTGCATGAGGTGGCTTCAGAAAAATCTTGGAAAAATTCCATTATCTTTTCATGCCATTTATCCATGAACTTTTTGAAGTCCCCTAGTATTTCCACAGGGAATCTACCTGGTTCTAGCCATGTAGTGGGAAGGAATTCATATTCTCCCTGTAACCCTACATTCCTACCACAAGGTGGGTCCATGTACCAAGACTGTTTTGAGAGGACAAAGACGTACTTACTAAGGAAGAATGCACCAACCAAGAATTAAATAGGAAAAACACAAAGTACACTTAATACAAATACTATAACCAGTCTAGAAAATTTATGCTATTCATTAAAGGGCACCTATAGCGTAATGGTTATGAATCGGGCTGCGGACCTTAAGGTCAGCAGTTTGAAACTACCAGCTGTTCCACGGAAGAAAGAAGAGGCTTTCTACTCCTGTAAAGATTACAGCCTCGGAAACCCTGTACAGGGTTGCTATGAGTCGGAACCGACTCCACGGCACATAGCCACCACCATACACCCTAAGGCAAACAAACCCCAACAGAGATGGTTTAGCATTCAGAAAGACTCAACCTCTTCCTCCATCCTTGCTTTTTGTTTCATAATTCTTCCAATTGTTTAACCCGACTAGTTCAAACAAAACTGAACTATCATTCAACATGGATACTCAACTGAATTCTTCAAAACAATTAAAAAACAAAACAAAATCCTCATACGGTTATATATACAGTAATATGGATAAAGACTCTTCAACTAAATTTAAAAATAAAATATACAAGGTAATACAAGATATAGTGAAACACCCGTGAGACCAAGGTAGCTCTGTGTTCACCATCCGTGGTGGTTCTTACCTGTGTAAATGAATCTTCCTGGAGTCCCTTTGCAGAACTGCTTGGACTTGTAGGACAAAGTGACTTCTACCACACCAGGGATGTGCCGAGGAGGGGTCTGCACACGGATGGCATGAGGAGTAATCAGCTGGAGGAAACATTGAGGGGACAATTGTCACTGCAAGGTATAGAGGACCTATTGTGTAGCTTTTCAATCAGCTCTCAGGAAACACATAATTTACCTGTGACTGCTTAAATACAACTTGATGGAATCTGTACAAAAGATACTGACAACAGTATCTATGAGTGCTCTGCATATAATCAGAACAACATTATTGTTTTCTTACCCAAAAGGCCCTCTGCTTCCTGGTTTGAAAAGTGAACTTGGCCTAGTGAAATGATTTATCTAACACAGGATATCCTTTGGAAAAGCTCTGTTTGAAGTCGACACCCAAATCAGAGCTGGGCTCTGTCATGCCTTTCCAGAAGTTGGTGGGTCCAGTGTTTGAACTGAGTCCTCAAACATGTGGTGAATACAGAGGTAGGAAAACAGAGGGCCCAAGGCACTTTGTGTAGATGCCGAACACATGTATGAAATACCCCTGAAGACCATAGTCTATATTAACAGAAACACAATCAACAAGCTTTAAAGAGGACCGAATAATCTGCCTCCCTCAATAGCCTATGGATTTCTGGTTGTCTGATGGCTGCTCCTTGGAAACCCTATACAGGGTCGCTATGGGTCAGAATTGACTCAATAGCACTTAACAACAACAACAATGACTATCCAGAAAGGAAAATGGAAAGTTGAGGAGGGGTCTGTGGAATGATCAATGCCATAGTATACAATGCCATGTGCACAATGAGAAAGTTCACTTCTGAACCCTGTTGGCAATCAGATTACACTGTGATGTGGAATTTATCTTTTATTATTCTTATCTTTGTTTGTATAACTAAAATGTTATTAATGGCCATAAAACTGGCATTATCTCAGTCTTTGAAAAATCTAGCCCTGGTATTTGACTGGTTGACCTCTACTGAAGCTGGATTCTGTATGTTATCTCTTTCTCTCGAGTTTCTGCAATTGCCCCCTCCTTGGCTCCTGTCAGATTCACTTAACATGTGCATATTGAATCAATGTACAGTGGATCATCATATGAGTTTATCCTAACTTGAAAGTATGCTGTTCTTACAGGTCCACTTCAAGTGTTATCCCCAGAGAATCACAGTTGGCACTTTAACTGCTGAATGACAGCCTCTAGGGCACACCTAGGAAAATTGGGTTTACCCCGAGTCTTAGGAAAAAGCATGTGAGAAGGTTGCTACTACTAAAGTTCACATGTAATTCATGTTCAGTGTATGGGAAACAGAAATAAAGGTTATCTGCATAAAAGTTTTCTAACTTAGCAATTGTTGTTAAGTGCCATAGAGTCGGTTCCGACTCATCGCAACCCTGTACAGGGTTTCCAAGGCTGTAATCTTTACAGGAGCAGAAAGCCTCATCTTACTCCTGCGGAATAGCTGGTAGTTTAGAACTGCTGAACTTACAGTTTGCAGCCCAATTCGTAACTATGTTTTATTATCTTCCATAGAATATACAGATTTTTTTTTTTTGCTGAAGATTTACAAGACCATGTTTATACGGAACTCTGGGTATTTCCAACCGTTAAGGGTTTATTAACACACAAAAAGAAAAAAGGAAAAAAAAAAAAAAAACACTTTTAGGACTGAAATTTTTCTAACAAGTTCTCCTACTAGGGCTCCAGTTCATATATGCACAGGTTCATTCCAAACAAAATGTGTTTAAACATGTCTCTATGATCAGTGGATGGCTGCAGGCAAGTTAAGTTCTTTCAGTAATGCACTTGTCTTAATCTCCTTAGGGGACCTTCGGAACAAAATGGTCCAAACAAAACAGTGGCTTCTGAGGGAATCTGCTGGGGACGTTAAGTTCAAGCCTAAGAAGTCAGCTTAGAAGGTTATGGTGACTGCATTTTGGGACTTCAAAGGGGTAATCTTGGCAAATTTTTGCAAAGGACACAGGATGGTCACTGTAGGGCTTTATTAGTAAGACATTTTCAGAAATTTGGAAACTGCATTGTAAGAAAGGGAAAAAAAAAAAAACTCAGCAAAATTGTGTGAGGGATTTTTTTTTTTTTTTTTTTTCCTAATCATGACAATGTTCCTGCTCATTCTTCAAGGGCAGAAAAGGTTCTCATATGAGAATTCCATTGGAAAACCTTAATCCATTCACCCAACAGTCCTGATCTTGCCTCTCCAGACTTTTGTTTCCAAAACTCAAAGAAGATTTCAAAGAAACACTACTTGAATCCCTCAAAGGTGTCAAAATTGCCATTTTGACATGGTGTAAATCTAAGAGGGAATTCTTTGGGGAAAGGTTAGAGAGATAGAAGTATATGGACCTAGATGGAGAATATGTCGAGAAACAATATTTTATATTTTTGTTTAATAACTATTTCTATGATTTTGTAGCAATGTTTTTTTACTTACCCTTGGATGTGTCCTAAAATAAGCAAAGTGCATACAATTTCACTTTGTTGTTGTTGTTGAATGTCATTGTGACAGTTCTGTTTCATACATAACAGAATGACACACTGCCTGGCACTGGCTCATCTTCTCAACCATTGCTGTTTCAGCCCACTGTGGCAGCCATTGTGCAACTTAATTCCATTGAGGGCCTTCCTCTTTTTTTATTGATCCCTGTTGTTGTTGTTGCTAGATGCCCTGAGCCAATTCCAACTAATAGTGACCCCCTAAGGAAACTAAGACAAGTGCATTACTGAGAGAACTTACCTGCATGTAAGTAAAATTTTTCCTAAGAGAATTTTAAAGTGTCTGCAACAGTACATGACAGGGAATTGCTAGAGGTTCAAGACAGATTCAGATGAGGACACTGAGTAGGGGACATCATTGCTGACGTCAGATGGATCTTGGTCAAAAGCAGAGAATACCAGAAAGATGTTTACCTGTGCTTTACTGACTATGCAAAGGGTTTCATGTGAATCATGACAAGCTATACACAGCATTGTGGATAATGAGTATTCCAGAACACTTCACTGTGCTCATGAAGAATGTGTACATAGACTAAGAGACAGTCATTCAAATAGAACTGGGGGACACTGAAGGGCTTAAAATTGTGAAAGGTGTGCACCAGGGTTGCAGTCTTTCACCATACTTAATCTGTATGCTGAGCAAATAATCCATTTGAGAAGCTGGATTATATGACAAAGAATGTAGCATCACAATTGGAGGTACACTCATTAATAACCTAAGATATGCAGATAATACAACCTTGCTTGTTGAAAGCAAAGAGGACTTCAAATACTTACTGATGACAACCAAAGACCACAACCTTCAGTATAAAACAAAAATCCTCACCACTGGACCAATAAATATCATGATAAATGGAGAAAAGATTGAAGACTTCATTTTGCTTGAATTCACTATTAACATTCACAGAAGCAGCAGCAAAGAAATCAAACCATCTACTGCATTAGGCAAATCTGCTGCACAAGGTCTCTTTAAAGTATTCAAGAGCAAAGATGTCAGTTAAAGGACCAAGGAGTACCTGAAGCTAGTAATGGCATTTTCAATAGCTTCATATGCATGTGAAATTTGGACACTGAAAAAAGAAGACCATAGGAGAATTAATGCATTTGATTCATGGTTTTGGAGAAGAATATTAAAAGTACCATGGGCTGCTGGAAAAACAAATCTATGTTGGAATAAGTACAGCCAGAATGTTCCTTAGAAGCCAGGATGGCCAGACTTTGTCTCTTATACCTTGGATATATCATCAGGAGTGACCAGTGCCTCAAGAAGAACATCATATTGGGTAGAATGGAGGGTCAGCGAGAAAGAGGTCCCCCAATGAGATGGATTGGCACAGTGGCAGCAACAATTGTGAGGATGGTGCAGTATAGAACAGTGTTTCATTCTGTTTTCTGTTCAGCTCTTTTACTTCCTCATATTTTCCATTTGCTTTAGCATCTCTACACTGGAAAGTAAAGTTTCAGAATCTTTTCTGACATCCATTTTGGCCTTTTCCTTCTTTCTTGTCATCTTAATGACCTTTTGTTTTCTTTGTGTATGATGTTCTTGACTTCATTCCACAAGTCTTCTGGTCCTCCGTCATGGTTGCCTAATGAATCAAATCTGTTCTTAAGATGTTCAAGGTTAAATTTTGGCTCTCGTGGACTTATTTTAATTTTCTTCAACTTCATCCTTGACTTGCTTAAGAACATTTGATGGTCTAGTTCTGGCCTTGCTTTGGCTGATGATATATAACTTTTCCACCGTCTCTTCCGGCAGATAGTGTCGATCTGATTTTTGCATACTCCTGTCTGGTGAAGTTCATGCATGTAAGCATCTTTTATGTTGTTTTAAAAAGGTATTTGCAATGAACAAGTCATTGATCTTGCAAAATTCTATCATGTGATCTCCATCTTTGTATCACCAAGGTCGTCTTTTCCAACTACTGGTCCTTCTTCCTTAATCCTACTTTTGAATTCCAATCACCAGTAACTATCAATACATATTGTTTACATGTTTGATCAATTTCAGACTGAAGAAGTTAGAATTCTTCAAGTTCATCATCACTGGCTTTAGTGGTTGTCATGTAAATTTGAATAATATTGGTAGTAACTGGTCTTCCTTCTAAATGTGTGGATATTATCCTATCACATTATACTTTATACACATTATACTTTATATACATTATACTTCAAGATAGATCTTTAAATGTCCTTTTGATGATGAATACAACACCATTCCTCTTCAATTTGTCTTTCTTGGCATAGCAAACCACATGATTAGCAGATTCAAAATGCTAGTCCACTTTGGCTCACTAATGCCTAGGATAGCAATCTATGCATTCTATTTCCTTTTCGACAACTTCCAATTTTCCTAGATCCATACTCTATACGTTCCTTGTTCCAATTATTAATGGATATTTACAGCGTCTTTTTGAGTTGTGTCCCATCAGCAAATGAAGGTCCCAAAATATCAAGTATAATGTCCTTCTATAGGGATTGATCCTTTCTGACAATATGCCCAAAATATGTAAGACACATCCTTACCATCCTTAATTCTAAGGAGCATTCTGGCTGTAAATCTGCACAAAGGTAG